GAACCTCCAAATAGCTGAAGCCTTCCCTTCCTCCATTATAACAGTTATTAGGCTCCTAAGACAGTATAGCTTCTCTAAAAATCACTTGTTTACTTAAAGGTTTATTGAAGGCAGAGACATTCCCTTATATCTCATTGAAACTAATACCTGCTTTAATGTCTACATATAATATGAAGTCAATAAAAGATTGATTAATAAATAATTGAATCCATTTAATTGTGACATATTTAACAACCTTATGTAATTTAACGTCTGTTTTAAAGTAAAATATTACCGAAGTACAACTTTCATTCAGAAGAGTATGCGAAGTAAGGAATACTCGTTGCTGTTGAGTCAATTTCGACTCATTGTCACCCTATAGTGATAGGTCAATAAATTTTCACTGTAAATGTATCAGCACTACTCTCATTCAGATAAAGCAGTTGAACATTATTAGCAGAAGCCCCTAGCATGTACTCTCCCAGTCACTACCACCCAAGAGGAAATGTAGTCTTGACCTGTATCACCATGATAAAGTTTTGCCTGTTTTTGAACAGGATCGCATAGTATAAACTTTTATTTTGTCTTCTTTTGCTCAATATTATGTTTGTGAGAGTCATCCATGTTGTTGTAGGCAGCTGAAGTCGGTTCATTCTCATTGCTGCAGACTATTACTTTGTATGAATGTGTTACATTTTATTTATTCATTCTACTCTTGATGTTCATTTAAGTATTTTCCAGTTTGTGGCTGTTAATATCCTGCTACTATAAACATTCTTGTAACTGACTTTTGATGCACATGTGTATGAGTTACTGTTGCCTATATACTTAGAAACAGAATGTATTTAACTCTTTAGTAGACAGTGCTAAAATATTTTTCAACACTGTACAAAACTCCACTCCTACTGGCAGCGTGTGAGAGGGTTCCAGTTGCTCCACCATCCTGGTCAATATCTAAGGTATTAATATCTTTGCATTTTAGCTATTCTGATGGCTGTGTAGTGGTAGCTCATTGGTGTTTTAGTTTGATTCCTCAGTAACTAAAACCAAGCATCTTTTTATGATTATTGTACATTTGGATATCCTCTTTTGTGAGGTGACAGTTCAATTCTTTTGTCCCCTTTTACTGGATTTTTTTTTTTTGTTGATTTATAGAGCCTCCTCTCAGATATAGATCTTACAGATACCTTATATCAGTCTGTGGCTTTCCTTTTCACTGACTTTATAATGTCTTTTGATGAACACAACTTATAAACTTTACTGTACTGTATTTTTACACAGATAATGGGCGTCTTCTACATTTCTTTGCCAACTGCACCCTCTATTCATTTTAAAAATATGTTTCAATCATATTTGTTGTTTTATTCATAGATGGTTCCTATTTCTTTTTTTATAATGGTAATTTTATTCTGTTTAAGAAAATGTTGCTTTATTCATGTTCAAGAAGATATTTCCCTATGTTTTCTGTTAAAATTTTTTAAATTTTCACATTTACATCTACACTCTATTAAAAAATGATTTTTGTACATGGTGATAGATATGGTTAAGGATTTAGTTTTTCCATAAGGCTAATAGAAAGGCCATTCATTTTCCACTGCACCGCAGGGCACATTTATCACAAACAAGTGATGTATGTGTCAGTCTGATTCTGGACTGTCTACCTAATTCTGCTGGTCTATTTATCCATCCTTGCACAAATTCCAAGTCATCTTACATATTGAGCTTTACCATAAATTTAGAAAAGTAAAAAGCTTAGTTCTTCTACACTGTTTTAAATGTTTTTGCTTCTTTGATTTTCTGTATATATTTTAGAATAAGCTTTTCAGTTTATACATGCACATATGCAAATACAAACTTTGCTGAAATTTGAGATTTCATGAATCTATAGATCAATTTGAGGAAAACAGACAACTTTGCAATATTGTTTCAACCCATGGCCAAGGGGTCGTCTCCCATTGATTTAGATATTTTATAATTTTTTCTCAATAATACTTCGTAGTTTTTTGTGTAGACGTATTACATATCTTCTTGTTATTTTTATTCCTTGAAATTTGATGTTTTGAAGTCATTTAGTAAGTGATACCTTTTAAACTTTTAAATCTTTTAAAATTTCTAATTGATACTGTTACTATCGAGTGATATGTTTCAATTACCTAGATATATATACTTGGGCCAATACCACAGAGTTTAAAAATTATGTATCTTTTTCATGTTTAAATATATCATAGAGCTATTTATTCCTATGAATCATTATTTTAAAATTACCTTGGCTACTTTCACCTTTATTAAATTATAAAATAATAAATATTACATTAGAAATTCAGTTATAAACACAATAAAAATTTTAGTTTATCTGATAAGAATTTGACATTTTTCACATCATTAGGTCATATTCAACATTTTGATATGTCCCTCCATGTATTCATTTTAAAAATATATTTCATTCATATTTGGTGTTTTATTCATAGAAGGTTCCTATTTCTTTTTTTTTTAGTAATATTTGGGTTTCATTTTGTAAAGAATGAGATTTTTCCCTTACATTTTCTAAGCTGATATTAGTGGTTTATATGAAAAAAAAATTATGACCTTCCTGTCTATTTCATAACCAACCAAACTATTTAGGTTAGTGGAGAGAGTCTATAAAGACCACTAACTATATTTCTTGATTCTGCTCCATCAGGGATTAGGGAAACTTCATTATACTTTTACATGACCTGGTGTTATAATATATCCCACAAAATTTCTACTTGACAAAATTTCTGATTTCTAAGAAGTAGAGGAAGGGACAAACAAGAAAATGCTTGCTATGCTTATTTAAAAACCAAAAAAAAAAAAAAAAACAAACCCATTGCCGTCAAGTTGATTCCAGCTCATAGTAATCCTATAGGACAGGTTAGAACTGACCAAGGAGCAGCTGGTGGGTTTGAATTGCAGATCCTTTTGGTTAGCATCCGAGCTCTTAACCACTGCGCCATCCGAGCTCCAACTTTTTGGTTAGCAGCCAAACGCTTAACAAATATGCCACCAGGGCTCCACCCACTGGAAGGACACCTTTAAAACATAAATCTGACTATATGGCTTCTTTAGTGAATTTCCATAGCCTTCAGCATAGAGTCCAAACCCCTTAAATGATTCATTATCTCACACTGTAGCTCCCTAGTGGCGCAGTGGTTAAGACATTGGCTGCTAACCAAAAGGTGAGCAGTTTGAATCTACCAGCTGCTCCTTGGAAACCCTATGGGGCAGTTCTACCCTGTCCTATAAGGTCGCTATGAGTCAGAATCGACTCCAAGGCAACGGGTTTGGGTAGTTCCCTAGACTCAATTTTGACCCTGCCTACCTGTGACATAAAAGCACACGCACATTTACAAACACATAGGTGCACACAAGGCAGCCCAATGCCCTTGCTCTAAGCTCCAGCGTGCCAGACCTGCTGCTCTGTGAACCTATCGCCATCTAACCTGTGTCCTAATAAAAATGCTATTTTAATGTCAGGTCTACTATTTGGGGATTGTTATTATTGGACTTAATGTATTAAGCATATTTGAACATTCACTAAATGTCAGTTGAACTGAAGTCAGATTAATTTTTAAAAGATGAGATGAGTGGAAAAAATCTGAACCAGAATTTAGAAAGTCAGCTTTCAAGTTCCAACTCTGCTACTTAGCATCTGTGGGACTTTAGGAAAGTCACTTTGCCACTTTGCACCTCGAGTTCCTTATTTATTTCTTCCTTGGACACCCACAAGGTCAATTTAGGAAAAGTAAAAACGAAAAGAGCATGTATAAAAATTCAATCTCACTAGTACTCAAAGAAATGGAATTCAAGACAATATAGAGACTATATATTTTTTTCATTTATCGTGTTGGAAAAGATTTTTTAATAACTACTGTACTTTTATGCAAATAATGTGCGCCTTCTATGTGTGCTTGCCAACTGCGCCCTCCTCCCTTCCTTCTGAGGTATTTTCATAAGCACACTATGCTAATTTATTTTTGCAGTAACACATTAAAAAAAAAAATTGCATAGCAGCGCTTATGAAAATACTTCACGGGGAAGGGAGCAGTTGGCAAATAAACACAGAAGGCACACGTTATTTGAGTAAAAATATGGTATAGGACTCAATGTTACACATGTGCATGAGAAGGAAAGCGCATGTACTGCTCAGCCTCAGTAAATGGTATAGTCTTTCTGGAAAGTAGTTTTTAGAGATGTGTTAGGAATTTTAAAAATATTATAGCTAGTCCATTTCTATGAATCTATTTTAAAATTTAAAATGTCATGATGCTGAGAAAGATTTCTGAACAAAAAGTTACTACAGCATTATTTATAACAAGTAGTAAAAATAAAAACAACCCAAATACACAAATGAGAGTAATTATTACATAAATCATAGTTCAACCATACAGAGGTCATGATGAGACAATATGCAGCATGTACTAAATGCCACTGAATTGTTCACTTCAAAATGGTTCCTCTTATGTGGAATTCCCCTCAATAAAACAAAATGAATCTAATTCAGTTCAATGAAAAAAAAAAAACTGTTTGGCATTGTGAAAAATAAAAAAATATATTTAGTAGATGAAACAGTTCTTGTTGATATGTTGAATATTAGAGTTGAGATAGAAAGAGGAGTCAAGAAAACTTACAGATTTCAGAGCTGGAAAATTAGGTTAATAGTTGGAGGAAAAGATTAGGAGCTATCGGAAGGAAACCATGGGCTTCATTAGAGCTATTTTAAGTTTAATGTCTCTTAGAGTATAAGAGGGTATGTCAAACGGGGTGAGCAGAGTGAGTGAAAAACTCCTTGTACGATCTTTTGGTTTTTTTCTTCATTATTAGGATTTTCCTAAAGGGATCCAGGGTGAACAAAGAGCCAGATTTGGAACAGAGTCAACATTTAACCTAATTGTAAAACAAAAATACCACCATATCATCACAGGACACGAATTGGAGAGGTTTATTATATTTAACATATTAGATATGCCATATAAGAATAAAAATTCCATTTGCAGAATTACCTTTGATTGATATGATCTACTACGAGCTCAACATCCATCTCCATTTTTTTATTTTCTTCCAACAATTGAGTATATGCTTTTGAAATATCTGAAAAATCTTTTGAAACATTAGAAAGCTCAATGTCCCATGTAGATTTCTTAAAGAAAAAAAGAAAGAATCATTTATACATGTTTACCTGTCTTTGTGTTTGTTTTTCCAAAAGGGATAAAAAGAGATAATAATGAAATTACTTTTAGTTGCATGACTTGATATTTGGGAATAGGGGATGGTGGTCTAGGGAAGTAGGGAAACAACAACTTACTGTGGCATAAAAAGTATTGAGTGCATCTATATATTCCTTTTCATAACCTTTTTTCTTCCATGTTAGTTGATCGTAAAACCTTTTTAGCTCCTCTAACTGAAAAAAAAATATATATATATAAAATAAGTGAATTGTGGTGCTTTTTCTCCTTCTATAAAGTGAGAAATATATTACATTCAACTTCATGCAGTTACCATAACTTATAAATATTTATTAAAATAGTTTTAAATAATACCATAAGCTGTTTCCATTATGAACACTGATGCATACTTCTGAATAAAATATACCAAATCAAGTGTTCAAATGAATATATCATGATAAAATAGAATGTAATTAAGTTATGTAAGAATTCATAAGCATTAGAAAATTCTAAACCATAATTCATCATATCTGTTGCCACTGAGTCGATTCTGACTCATAGTGACACTATAGGACAGAACTGCCCCATAGGGTTTCCAAGGAGCGGCTGGTGGATTGGAACTGCTGACCTTTTGGTTAGCAGCAGCGCTCTTAACCACTATGCTACCAGGGCTCCTAATTCATCATATCATCAGGTTAAAGTAGAAAATAACACGAATGTGACAACACTCTACAAAATAGCCATTTGATAAATTCAGGATCTAATTTCCATAATATTTTAACAAATACAAGAATAAACTACTCAAATATAGTACAAAAAACCAATGGCAAATATAAAAATAAATCATGAAATGCTGATTGTAAGCTCATTGAACTCAGGAATGAAATCAGATTATCTTTTATTACCACTATCATAGTATTGAAGAAAAAAAGAGAAAATCATCACTAACTTTAAATGATATTATTGAATATCTAGGAAAACAAGATTCTATTTAAAACTACAATGATTTCAGTAAAATGGCTAGATATAAGCATAATGAAATTAATAGCTATTGTCTATTAAACTAATAATCGGTTACAAATACAGGAACAATACTTTAATGGTATTTTCAAAATATAACATATTTTGGAATAAATTCAGCAAAAATAGGGAGGATCTATTTAACCCCAATACAAACTCTTATTAAAATGCCCAAATCAAGACCCATAATATGAAAAGAGTAATATGAAAGACTTAATATCATGTAATATCAGTTTTTCCTAATTATTTTTTTTAATGGATAAAATCAAGTTTATATGAAAGAAAAAGATATGTGGGATTAGACAAGAGATATATGGAAAATATAAATGTTGGACACTTGCTATCAAATATCAAAACATCCTATAATACCATTGTATCAAAGGAGTATTTATTTTGGGTATTGTAACAGATAAAGATGAGGGGAAAAAACTAGAGTCCAGAAATCTATCTGAATGAATATTTTTAAAAATGATATCAAAATTGGGTCGGAAAAGAATAGTTTAATTTAACTAAGGGGGCTGGAATACTTTGGTATCTATTTATTAAAAAAATAGAAAGTGATGTCTACTTCACATAATAATAAAAGTAAATTTCAGAGAGATAATATAAAAGAAAGCACAAAACAGGACAAATTATTAGAGTAATCTATATGAGTTCATTTGTATATTCTTGGTATAAGGAGAATGTCACCTTCCCAATTAAACCATTATACCTAATGTTGAAAAATGGAATCTTTACCCCTAAGATCTGGGGAAAAAAAACCCAACATATTCATTCTCACCACTATTCTTCATCACTGTATTTTAGGTTGTAGCCAGGGCAATTAGGCAAGGAAAAGAAATGAAAGGCATTCATATTGGAAAAAAAGAAGGAAAATCATCTGTATTTAGAGATGAAAATATCTTGAATATAGAAAATTCTAAGAAATCCATTGTTGTTGTTAGTTGCTGTCAAATCAGCTCCTACTCATGGTGATCCCATGCATAACAGAATGAAACATTGCTGGTCCTTCATGAACTTTGGTATGTTTGAATCCATTTTTGTGGCCCTTGTGTCAGTCCATCCCCTTGAGGATTTCTTTCACCTTCACTAGCCCTCCACTTTACCAACATGATGTGCTTCTCCAGCAACGGGTCCCTCCTGATGACACATCCAAAGTAAGCAAGTCAAAGTCTCAGACAATATTCTGCGATCCATAAGGCTTTCATTGGCTAATTTCTGGAAGTAGATCACCAGATATTTCTTCCTAGTCTATCTTCATCTAAGCTCCACTGAAGCCTATCTACTTGGATGACTCTGCTGGTATTTGAAATACTGGTGGCATAGCTTCCAGCATCGCAGCAATACATAAGACACCACAGTACAACAAACTGCCAGATGTATAGTGGAATGGTGGAAGAAATCCATACATGCATACAAAAACCACTAGAACTAATAAACATGTTTAGTAATTTTGCAGAGTAAAGACCAACACTGAACAATCAGTTATTTCTATATATTAGCAATAAACAATCTGAAATGAAATTAAGAAAAAAATTCCATTTACAATAGCATAAAAAGAACAAAATGCCTAGGAATAAATTTTACTAAAGAAGTGTAAGACTTGTACTCTAAAAACTACAATACATAGTTGAAAGAAATTAAAGAGGTCTAAAGAAATGGAAAGACACCCCATGTTCATGGATTAGAAGAATTGAACATTGTTAAGGTGATACTGCTCCTTAACTGATCTGCAGATTCAATGCAATCTCTATAAAAATTCCAGCTTCCTTCTCTGCAGAAATTGACACGCTGACTCTAAAATTCACAGGGAAACTCAGGACCCAGAATACCCAAAATATCTTGAAAAAGAAGAACAAAGTTGAAGGACTCACACTTCTTGATTTCAAATCCCACTACAAAGCTACAGTAATCAAAGTATTGTGGTACTGGCATAGAATGTTGCTGTTTGTTGTTGATGTTGTTAGTTGTCAAGAGGTTAGAATTAAGAGTCCAGAAATAAAATCATAATACATCTATTGTCGATTGATTTTCAACAAGGGTTCCTAGACAATTCAATGGTGAAAAAATAGTCTTTTCAAAAAATGATGCTGGGAATTCTGGATATCAACAATGCAAAAAAATGAATTTGGATCCCTACTTTACACCATATACAAAAATTAACTCAAAATGGATCAAAGACCTAGATGTAAGAGCTAAATCTTATAGGAAAACTATAGGTGTAAATCTTGGTGATTTTGGATTAGGCAATAGTTTCTTAGAAATGACACCTAGAGCACTGGTAACCAAAAATAAAATCATTAAATTTAACTCTATCAAAATTAAAATTTTTTTTATCATTAAACAACACTACCAAAAAATGAAAAGATGTTCCACAGAATGGGAGAAAATATTTTCAAATCATACTTGTGATAAGTGTCTAGTATTGGAATCCCCAAAGTACTCTTAAAACTCAGTAATGTGGACACTTCTGGCAACATGGCACTCTAGGCAGAAGCACCATGCCTTCCCTCCACAGCAAAGATCTGAAAAACTAAGCCAAACAGAGAAAACAGCAATCTTGAAACCCTAAACATCAAATGAAGAGATAAAGAACTCAGCCAAGCACCAAGTGGAATAAGAAACTGACAGAGAACAGAGAACGAGGAGATATACATACAGAGGTATCATATCAGCTAATGCAGCTTGGATCCACCATCTTGGCTCCTATCAGAGACCAGCAAATAAGGGGTTACGAGAAAGCAGTTTCACGGAGCTTCCAGCAGGAGACAGAACAACCGGTAACTGGCAATATATGCTTTCACACCCCCCACCCTTCTTCAGCCCCATTCAGCCTCCTCTGCTTCCCGTGGCCACAGTCTCTTGGCCGGGAAGCACTGGCTGCTTGGATTCCACCTGCCCACACTGGCAGATTCCCTTAGAGCTATTTGTTGGCTGCTGGTGTTACCTTTTTCCACTTCTTTTGATTTCTTCCTTACTTCTTACCACCTCTGCCTGCTTTCGCTCTAATACCTGACTCCGTGCGCCATCTTTGCTTCTTCCTGAGGGGCTGTGGAGCTCCACTCGAGTGTGAAACTGCTTCCTGGTCCATGCCGCCAAGCTGATGGGATCCCAGGGCTTTTGTTTGTTTTGAATTGTTTTTCTTTTTCTTTTCTCAAGTTGGGAGCACTTTCTGGCCAGGCAGTGCTGTGCAGCTTGGGACCTACCCCCTCAGCTTGCACAGATGCCAAGAGGGATCTCTGAGGACATTTCTTTTTTTGTGGGTTTTTTTTTTTTTCTGTTTTTTGGGGGGGGGGGGTTTCTTGTTCTTTTTTTAAATTTGTTTTGTTATCTTTTCCCTCTTTTTCCCTTTTTGTCTTTCTTCATTACTCAGTTTCTCATCTCTCTATACCTTCCTTCCCTTCCTGTCCCCTGAATACCTCACACTGAGTGACACCTCTACGTCTTCTAGCCAGGCTGTACCTCAACACCTGGGAATGACTCCCCCAAACCTCGTAGCCGCACTGGTGAGATCCCTGGGAGCTTTTATTTCCTTTTTTCTTTCTAATTTTTTTTATTCATTCTTCTCTCCTCTTTTCTTTTTTTCTTCTTCATCCCCTTTTTGTTTTTCTCTATTTCATAGTCTCTCATCTCTCCATTCCACTGGCAAGCTCCCCTAGGGCTCTTTTTTGTTTGTTTGTATGTTTTTTGCTCCTGTTCCTCTCCCCTCTCTCCCATACCCATCTTAGCTCCACACATCACAATCTCCCCCCTCCAACCTGCCTACCTGCGCCATGCACTTAACATCACACCAACAAGCAGCAGAGGCACAGCCTACCGGAACCTGCCCAGCATGGATTACCGGTCTGCCCTGGTGGCTGTAGTATGTGCCACAAACAACCCATCACAGCAACTCCTCTTCTGCTAGACCTGCTCTGCTGTACCATATCTGAGTGACTGACCCTGCCAATTGGACAAAGAGGAGAAGAGTATTGTGTCCACAGACAAGCAAACAACAAAGAACACACAGCCCTCCTGCTCAGACATAGCCAAATAAAAAAAAAAGGACAAAAGAAACAAATCTACAATCAATAAATGAGAAAAACAACTACTGAATGTCCCGAAGACAGCAGACACTTATCAAAACATTTACAAAAACAGGACAGGATAGTTCCAATAAGCATACAAAATAACACACCAGGTGACTTTCCAGTAGAAGAAAAGGCACTAGAACTAC